CTTGCTCTTGGGGAGACTCGAACTCACAACCTCTCGGTTGGAAGTGGGGGTTGCTTACCATCAGAGCAAACCCTCTTGTCTACCATCGAAACAAGCATGATGTCAATAAATTCAGCATGGGAAAAGAGAGTTTCTTTTTATAATAGGTATCCGGGCCAACTTGCAAGCACTAACCTCCTACCAATGCAAGAGTAACAAACCCACACCCCCACCACACCCCCACCCCACAGTCAAAAGTAACTCTACGTGCTTAGGCTTAGGCAACCCGAAAAAAAGAGGCATTATTATTCAAAAATACAAAATTGAAAGATTACAGTTTTGTCCAAGAATGGCATTCCTGCAAACAATTCTCAATTGAGAATTCTGGTTCAACAGAAGAACAATATCCGAATTACAACAATTTTCTTGCAAATGATACAGCTGCTGGAAACAAGGATCTTTGCCTACTCTAAGGGCTTCAAATGGTGCTCGAACAAAGATGCCATTTCAATCTGAAACATTAGCACATTAGTATAAAATCAAACTTGAAGCACAGTAAAACAAGACTTCCAAGAAAACCAAAGCTATCTGAACTTGGAACATTTCAAGCTGCACTCCAAGCTTTTCATAACAATTTCATAACAAAAATCAAGTTGAGAGATTTGTGGACACCAAAATTGAAGTTCTCTATCCAATAGAAGAGATAAAAACAATTTCTTTTTTTCTTTTTTTTTTGTGTGACAATGATGGTATCCGACTCAACTTGTGCGCAGCACGACTATTCCACTAGGTATCTGCTATCTCCCACCAACACAAGTAGATGGTAACTCTGCCACTAAGATTTAAGCGGATGGGAAGAAATCATTAGTACGTTTGCACCCAATTCATTGATCACCGGATCACACACTTGAATGTTTAACAAAAAACACTTCTATACCATATATTTCACTTTCTTTACCCTGCTATTTTCCTGTTAAAGTGACATTTGGGTTCAGTCTTCATTAGGTGTACGATAGATTTCTTTGCCGGAAGAAGTGTCACTAAATTAAGGGAAAATTACAGTTCGTATGCACAAATTTAGTTATCCAAAGAAAGACCCAACCAAGGAAATGAGAAGTATAACCACGACCTTGCTTTTGGAATATAGACAGTATCAATTGCCAGAGAAGAATCAAAATAGTATCTTCTCAGCTTTTGTCCTCTATATACATTCTATTCCAAACTTGTGAATCAAAGCTACAACTCGTACCAGGAATAAATGATACTAAGGAAATTACAGAAAAGCACCATATAACAAAGGCATTTTGAGAAGAATCAGACAAGACAGATAACTTGTTGATACAATAAGTAATGCCACACAATTACAGGCAACTTACAGATGTCAATGCTGCTTCGGCACCTTTATTCCCAGACTTTCCACCAGCACGATTGAAGGCCTGCAATATTATGGGATTTTCATCATACGATATGCTATCAAACCACAAAGACGCTGCCCTTGACAGCATAAGAGGCAGGCAGAGAGAAAATAAGGACGGGAGATTTAGAGGGGTTCTGGTCAATTTTCCAGCAAGCCAAGAAGAATGTTGAGTTATATATATAGATCCAAGAGGCAGTAAATTATGCTCCCTCTGTTTCAATTTATGTGAACCAGTTTAACTGGGCACGGAGTTTAAAAAAAGAGAGAAGACTTTTGAACTTGTGGTGTAAAATGAGGCGCATATATTTTGTGTGGCTATAAATCATTGCATAAAGGTAAATTATTTCCAATGAGGAAAGAGATCATTCTTTTGGCACGGACTAAAAAGAAAATAGGTTCACATAAATTGAAACGGAGGGAATAGATCTTATATTGATCCACAGAAATTAACAGCTACCAACAACAGTACTTTAATTTGTTCAACTTCATTGGCTACTCTTCTGATAAACAAGGTGCGATATTAGATGAAAGACATACCAACTGGTGCTCAGAATGTCAAATATGATTTTTTTTTCCCTTGAATAGCTTTAGGTTTAAGTAAGCTGGCCAAGTTAGAAATTATGATATCCTACAGATGGTACAAATAGCACATATAGAGGGCACCATGAAAGAATTTGCTTAAAATGGTTAGGTCATGTTCCATGTTGTCTTCAAGATGTACTGGTCCATAGGTAGAACATAGGTGTGACAAAAAAATGATTATAGGTGCATAACAGGAACGAAGTAGACTTAAAATCACCTGAAATGAAGTTGTCTCAAAGGATCTCAAATCTCTTAAAACAAATACAGACATAACTGAAAATAGAACACTACTGAAGCAAAAGATCTATATAGACGACCAACTAATTGAGATTACACTAGTTACGTGTGTAAAGGGATAAGTGCAAGATTTAGAGAACTCTTAATTTGCCTAAAAGGCACATAATAATTTAGTATCGTAATGAAATGAACCTGAATAAAGATGGAAATAAAGGATTCATATTGTCAACCCCAACTGATTCAGGATTGAGGTATAGCTGATTGATCTTAATATAGGCTTAAGTAAGTTAGTTGCACAAGTGTAGGTAGAAATATATGCATAATTCACATCAGTTCGAGAGCAAAGAGCACAGATCCAACTTACTCCAGCATTTCTAATAAACTAAAGTACAAGATCAAGTGACTCCTAGTATTTTGATATTTATTCTCTCTATCTCTTTCCCTGCCGACATCTACCAAGCATTTTGAGTCTAAATATACTCAGTCCTAATCCTATTGCTTTTTATTCCACTAGATCAGACTCCTAGACCGAAATCTTGGTAGTTCTGATTTTAATGTCAATTGCTCTTTGCTCATGCATCTTTCATTTTTTTAGCTTTTTCATTGCCCCTGTAGATACGTTATTCTTGGCAGAGTTCCTTGAAATACTTTCTTACTTTTTCTCAACAAGTGCAAGGGCTGGGGCATGATCACTTCTTTCCACATATGAGCAATTAATGGGATTAAGATGCAGTTTATGTAATTTAAAATATTCTCTTTGTTCAGTTGACAAATAAACATTTGACACTAGTAAGAAGGACGTTATCCATTTTTCAGGTTGCAAAATCATGTTTTGCCTAGTATTTTGAACTGGGCTGCCCTTTTCTTTTCCTAGTCATTTTGAAGCTACTGAAAGAATAAAAATGAAATAAAGAAAATGAACGCCATGCAAACTCTTCCCCACCTCTTAAAACTAGACTCCTGGGATATGATGTATTTTATGCCATGCACACCAGGCATGTGCAGAGAAGGTGGAGTTCCAAGCTTTGTTATTTTACGCTAAAGCTATATATGATTGTACGGACACATTAGTAAAAGGTCATATCTCTTTTAGTTATGTCCAAGAATTAACGTATTTAATTGAAGTTAGAAATAAAAGAAACAAAGTAACAAATTACTACAAAATCGCTACAACAATTAGTCGCTACCATAGATATAATCCTACTAATATGCTTGTGTAGAATAGAACTGATTTCCTAGAAAATTTACCTGTTCCAAGGTATCACATGTCAGAACACCAAATATGCAAGGAGTACCTGCACCCATTACATTAGGGAGATTTTAATATTCATCAGCTAATGCAAAAATGAACTGAAAAGCTAGCAACTAATGAAAGAAAATAAAGCTACAAGTCACTGTGTTACACACATGATACTAGAATAAATACCATGAACTTACCAACTGCTACCTACATCCTAAGCCAAATTACATTGGAAACATAAAGAAGTCTGCTAACTAACTCACTTCTCAAGTTGTCTCATTAAGAAATAAAGTTCCTATCCTCTTCCAGCTATTCAGGAAAAGGTTACTGTGTTGCAACTCGTGAACAAATTTCAGTAGATGGAAATATGACTAAAATGATTAGATGGCCAAGTTATCCCAAACTGTCTACATTTCAAAAGGCGAGAGTCACTTTGGAGTGAAGAAACTTTGGAAAGAGGTGTGATAGGGCCAGGGTGTTGGGAGGGCTGCATGAAATCTATGATATTCTATTTCCATATCTCAGCAAGATCACTATACCACAAAGCGTTAGCAATGATCAAGAATTGTACCTTTCAGAAAATAATGCAAATTTTTTAAAAGATAATTAGAAAATAATTTACTGTTTACTGCCTATCCTGAATGTAGTTCACTTTACCTGAATTTAAACCTGCTGAAAGTACTCCAGATGTGGTAGCATTAACCACGGCATCGTAGTGAGAGGTATCACCTTTAATCTACTGGCCGCAAAACACAATGAAAAATAGAAAATTAAAAGATAATAATCCACACAGCAGCAAGAAGGAACAAAATTAACTTCCATGTACGACATACCTATGGAAAATATTAGGCATGTCAAGATTTAGATAAAGACAGAAATCAGAAAGATGGATCGTTTGATTTATAGAAAAAACTGCTAGCATAGTACGTATTTCTCTCTTGTCTTTGCTTCGATGTTCTGAGTCTAGCTTTATATTGCCTTTTCTCAATTGGAACACCTAAGCCTTTTGGCTAAAAATATTACAAGTTCCAAAAAAGATAAAACTAGAAACACTGACCAAGACAAATCATATAATTTAAATACAGCACATTCGGATTGATTTTTCCATTCCTCATCGTGCAAACCCCAAAAAAGAAAAAGAGTATGAATTTTAAGAAACATAAACTTCAATAAGGAATTTAAACCCGAATATGTTTCTTCCGTTAATTATTTTTCTTATATATCAAAAGTAGTCTTATAATCTGTCATCCTTGGTTGAGTTTTGTTATATCCGCCATTACTTTTTCATTCAATTGGAGGAGGGGGTTTGTAACAAAGTGCAATTTTTTCATCAGGAACAAAGGACACAGTGCATGTTCTCATCAATTCTAAGTTGGTTAACAGAATCAGCTCAATAGGAAAACTGATGGTCACATAAGACATACAGAGCTGAAAAACCAAAAGGAAACTAATTGCAATCACCCGCATTTTCATAGCCATAAAAGAAAACCACCAAAAGACACAGTTGGAGGAGGTAAGAACAGAACAAGAAGGTACACAAAGTAACATGCAGTTCTGACGGAAGCTTACCACAGCACCAATACACAATATTGATTGATATTTTTGCGACTTGCCAAGTTGCTGTGCAACAACACCAATTTCAAAACTACCAGGAACCCATACAACCTGCACAAATTTCATTATGAGAGATGATGCCATGAAATGGAAGAGACTACTAATCACGCTGCCTAAAGTCTGCACTGAATCTATGATATGATATATTCTAGAACATAATATCACCATTATGCTATGGTCTTTTTTCTAAATGAAATTATGTTCTTAAAGAAGCTATAATTATATAGTACTTATGCTCTAACATAGCAAATAATGGAAAAGACTTTTGAAGATCAGCTCTTAAGTACTCCAGTAAATTACTAGTAACTACAAGTTCATGAATCCACACAAATTAGCTTTCTTTTTTTCTTTTTCTTAGAGGGGGTATTTGTGTAAATGAACCCATCTTAATTGCATAATCAGGTGACCAGTGTTTCTCTTTCCCCTTCTCTTAGGATTTGGCCTACTTTTAATAGCTGATCTAACGTATTAATCTTCAATGCGAGCTCAACCAGTGACATTCTTTCTTTCAACCTCTCTTATTCATGTATATTTAAATTGAAGGGAAAAAAAGGTTTTACTTTGAGTGATGAACCAGACATACTGGAGAAACTATCATCTAACAATGCCTGCCTCACATTCTATAATCAATTAATCTATAATTGTTTGAGACACTAGCAAGAACGCATAAGGGAGATAAATATTGAAGACATACATCAATGTTTTCTTCTCTGACAGAGTAACTCTTGAAAGTGTCCAAAGCACCCTCCAAAAGCTTCTTGGTGATCAGATCGTTAAAACGTGAAACCACCTGTAGAATCACAGAAGGCAATTCATAAGCATTAGTGCCTACTTCCACGGCTCGAACCGATAATCTATAAGTCACACAGAGACAACTTTACCGTTGCTCCAAGGCTCCCCTTCTAATATAGAAAAGAACCAATAGAAATTAAAATTTGGAACCGATAACAAAGTCAANGTTAAACATAACTATCTTGTTACAAATCACCCAGAGACAAAATGCCAACACCTTGAAATCCTTTCCAGCGAAAAAATGGACACCTAATAATAGCTGGTTTGACTATGTATAATTGATTCTCCCTCGGTCCCAATTTGTTTGGCAGTGTTGATGGAACACTTTTAAGGAAAGAAAAGTTGTTTGACACATGAGCTACATATGCATACAAAATAACAAAAGTTCCCTAACTACATCCTTTCTTTTGTATTCTTTTTTGATAACTGAGACACGCCCAAAATGGCGCACACTTTGAAACGCGGTAGATAATGGGTCCGGCCCTCTACCCTTCTCTACTTAAATACCAGGCTTTTTGTTTGCGACAAGGTTCGAATCCATGACGTGCGCCTAACCAACATATCCTAACCAACATATCACGCGTTGCGCTCTTACAACTAGACCAAAACCTAGGGGCTCCTCTCTTTTGTATTCTATATTGCGCAGCCATTGTATTTTTTTAAATTAAAGAATGGGAATTAACCAATTCCTCTTTTGCCATTCATTTTTTTAATCATCCCGATATCTTCCCCCAATCCTTCTATTCCTGATTACGGGTAATCAGTGAAAGCTTTTCGAAATATTATATATTTGGAGTGAAAAGTAGTTCTTTCGTCTTGAAACTGAATAACGGTTGCAACAGCTCATGACAACGATAAAATGTGAGAAATAGTGCCAAACAAATTGGGACGAAAAAATTACTAAAATGTAGAGAGTATGAAAACATGTAGAAGTTAAAGACCTAACTTATAAATACCAAACTCCACCAAAGAAGCAATATGTAATAATGGAAAAAATACCAAACTCCACCAAAGAAGCAATATGTAATAATGGAAAAAAAAATAAAGGGTAAAAAGGGAAGAAACGTACAATAGCAAAGCGATGTCCCTGTGCAGATAGAAGAGAACCCCTCAACTCTCGAACAGCTGATGTCTGAACTAAATCAGTACGTTTTTGTTCCTTGCTTGCAAATCCAAAACCTAGTCAATTAAAAAAAGAATTCACAAATTTTAAGCAAAATATAACACCAATCCAAATACAGAAATAAGATAGAAATTGGTACTTACCTTGGGATTGAGTGAAAGAGAGAGCAGCAGTTAATTTAGGTGAAGAAGAAATGGCTGTGTTATGGAAAGATAAGGAGAAGAAGGGACGATGTGAGGGATTGAAAGTTGATTGACGAAGTGGAACAAGACCGATTTCTCCAAATGCCGCAGTATTTGCCATTTTCTTCACTCTTTGGACTGTGATGTGGAAAATTTTAAAGAGGGAAATAGAAAAAGAAAACTAATGCAATTGATGACTTCAAGTGAGCTTACTACTACAGAATTTTAAGTCGAGTTGACGCTCAAATGAATTTGTTATAGTACCAAATTCATGTGAGCCACTATAGTTCAAAAAAAAAAAAAAATAGTTAAAAAAAAAAATAGTTCAAATGCAGTATCAAACAAAAACTAGAGTAATGGCAACCTAATTTTCTTGTCCCCACAAATAGGATCATTTTTAAATTTTGACCTTTCTAAAAGAGGTCTTGAAAAAATAGCTTTTCATCGAATTTGGGAAGGTTCGGCAACCCCTAAAATATTTTCATATAATAATCATAAGGATTTATCACAAAAACTGATAATTGCCAGAATTTTTCATATGATAATTTGTCAAACATGAGGAACTGCTAGGATATTGTAATTGTTTAATCGTAAAATAATACAATTAAATTTATATGTAGTTTATAGACAAGTGAATCGAATTGATCATAAAATGATAAATAAATTAGACAAAAATATAAGACTTAGCCTTGAAGTTAAAATAAAACAGCAGAAATCGTGGTTCCGAGAGCAGAGCTTCCAGAGGCAGTAATAACAGTACAAATAAACAAGAACGTAAGATGTTATTAAGCTTTGAATAGAATATAGCGTATGCTTGCGAGAAAATTCATGTCATCTACAATGGTTGAGGAGCTCACTATTTATAGCTGCACCTAGAGAACAAGGTTCTAGGATCAAGTCTCTCTTAAATGACAATTATGAAGGCCATTGAAGAACGTGTAACGGTAGGCAGTGAATGTCGTATTCTTTGTAAGGGACCGTGCACTTAATGATATAGAATATTCTTCATTAAATGCTACCGGGTGACATTCGCCTTTATGAATACCATTCTCTTCGAGATCGTTGTCTTCGGACCTGACTGTCTTTTGTCTTCGGCTCCATGTGTCGCTTTCTCATGCGATCATTAAATATGAACATATTTTACCCTATACAGATAGTCCCCCTCCTTTTCGAGGGCACAACCTTGTGCACCGAAAAGTTGGTAGAAATACCCTTTTTGGCAAAAAAAAATTACTAACCCTTTCTGAAAAAAATTTGACGGTTAATTAGACGTATATCTCTCCTCATTTAATGCCCCGAACATGCATCATCCCACGATTCAGCACCACTTTTGCCGGTTATTGAGGTAATTATGGCCACAATTTTAGCCGCATATTCATTTACTTATACGCATCAAACTTCTTCATTTACACTTCAAAATTTTCCAAGCTTTCTCAAACTTTCTTTACTTAACTTGTATTTGTCTTCAACTTTCTCTAACCTTCTTCTTTAGAGAAAACCCTTTTCTTCCTTCTGATAACAATGGTTTTTTCTTCCAGAAACCCTAGTTCCTCAAAGAACAGAGGTAAAGTTGTTGATGCTCCTCCTCCTACGGTGAGCACCATTATTCCAAGAAGTTTTGACACGACTAAGGACTTCGGAGAGAAATATCCTTTCGTTGACCCTCGTATATGAGCAGATGGAGTGTATCCTTCTTTCATCCGTCCTTCCAGCGTTCATGTTGGGAAGGAAGACTGTCATTGCCCTGATTTAAACATCATCGCTCATGATCTGGCGGAGCGGATAACCTTGCCCAAGAAGGGTTTCACATATTATTATATGTATCCTTTCACGCTGGGGCCGTTTTTTTTAGTAGGGAGCTTGACTCTGTTATCGGGGAGTTCTGCATCCGTTACCAAGTATGCCTAGCACAAGTAAGTCCTTCTATGCGGAGTACAGTTGCTTGTCTTCGACATCTATGCCAGGAGACGGGAGAGGAGTTAACCCTAGCTCGATTAATGAACCTTTATTGCCCTAAGATTTTCCATGGGGGAGATGATAAATTTCAGCAAACGTGGCTACCATGCTCTGCTAACCAGCATAGATGATGACAACAGTCGTGGGTGGAGGGATCGGTTTGTTATAGTTTCCACCAGGGAAATCATTCCGTCCACAGCTCTATCTTTTTCGGAATTGTGGAACCGTACTCGTAAGTTCCTTGTTTGTCTTTTCTTCTAGTTAAAGATCACCCCATGTTGTTACTGATCCCTCTTCTTTCACTTATTTCAACAACTCGATGGACTCCATCGAGGATCAAAAGCTTGGACCGGTGGGTCCAAAATATTTTGGACGTCACTGCGCCCGAGCCCCGCACGTGGAAAGAACTGCACTTAAATATGGGTGGAAAGCTAAAAATCATGGTAGGTTGAACTCAACTTGTTTTTACCTTTCGTATAAGAAAACTGATTAACCTTTTTCTCCTGTTGAAATCAGTTCTACCCGAGGGCCCAGTTGTCGTCCCCAAAGAGGATGTTTTGGTTGATCCTTCAAATACGGCGAGGCTGTTGTAGGAGGCCTTTTTCGAACGGTTGTAGTTCGTACTACATCTGGTGCAAGCGCTTCTTCTCGGAGTCCCCAGCTGGAGAACAAGCAACCAAAAAGACGATGCTCCTCCACAGCCGGGGGAAAAAATAAAAAAGCAAAGAATACAGCACCCCATCCATCCCCGGATGTTGTGTGATAAGTGTCGCGCTCGAGCCGGCCATAGACATCGTGGTGAACGACGATGATGGAAAAACCAGTAATGAGGGGGCTTCTCTACATAGAAGACAACGACCTTCATCAGCTCAACAAAATGCTTAATTTGTTGAGCTAGTTACACCAACTGAGGACGATGCCTCGGCACTCTAGGGGAGTATGATATGGTGGAAAATGCTAACTCTCGCTTCCGATTCTAGTCGTTGTGCCCGTTACTTTGAATCTGAGTACCAGGTTCCTTCCATATTTGGTTGATGAGAAACCAACAACCAGCACTGCATTTGCCGCAAAATCTTCTCAACCTATAACGCCATCAGCTTCGTCTACTTCTTTACCAACTCTGCCTTCACCACTAGCTACTGCTACATCATCTCCACCGGCCGCAGTTGCCCGATAGGAGGATGTCTCTCTTCCCCAGTCCCCAGTTCATAGGAATTTAGGGCAAAATTATGATGCCCCTCCGAAGATCCCCAAAGGCGGATGAGTGTCACCCTCTCGGTTTCTACCGAATGCCATCTATTGTCCTGACCAGTGGAATATCTAATTATCAGAAGACTTTGTCTTCAGAAAAGATATGAATAAAATACAAACTCTCTCGGGAGAGTGTTTGTTGAATAATGTTATGCACAACGCAACGACGGTATAATCTTTGGTTCCTTTATTGTTTGTTCTATCGTTGTTATGGCAAGGTTTTGAGTTTGTATTTTTAATTTGTAGGGTAAACTTCTTGCTTCCGAGGGCCTTCGAAGGTTGATTCTTGATAAGGAGGATCGTACCTCCGAGAGGGATCAATTATTGGCTGAGCGGGATCAGATTTTTGCATGCCTTCCGAAATTGGAAGCACGAGCTGCTAAGGCTGCTGAATTGGGGGCTCGGTTGTAGCAAAGTGAGCAAGAGGTAGTAACTCTTAGCGGGAGATTGCCCTATTAAGGATACAATTTGAAGAAGTTAAGGCCAAATGGGTTGAAGTCCATAATGTCGTTCTTGCTGCATCCGATCATAAGGCTGCCTCTGCTAAAAAAAAGATTGAGTAATTTGGAGGCAACCTTAAACTCCAAAGTTGAAGAAGTTACTACTGCTGTGGAGAAGTATACCCTATTGGAGGAGAGGAACAAGAAGGTCAGAGAGCACAATAAGGTTTTTAGCTCCATTGTCTGTGACCTTGATGTCAGTCTCCGGGAAACTAAATCCAAACGGGACAACCTTTCCGCTGAGGTTGACCAACATAAAGAAGAATTTAAGCTCCGAGCGGCTTCTCTCATTATTGAAAATATATTCTATGTACAGTATAAGGAGAAAAACCTTGGAAGAGGCCAAATCGGGTGTCATCGATTTTGATGTTGAAATTGCTAAGGCTCGTGAGCTGTAGTCAACTGCCCGAAGGGGTCTTCCAATCCGGCCTGATGCTGCTAACTCTTCTGGTTCCGGTTTCGAGTTCTCGAAAACTAAAGAAGAACTGGAAGGTGACAATGCAGAAGGCCAAAATGGTGAAGGCCAAGATATTTAACCGGCAGCGGATCCACCCACTTCTCCTGGGGTGCAAATGTTTCTCTTTTCCGGGTTCCGGAGATGTAGCAGCTTAGTTTTTACTTTCTTTTCTTTCTCATATATTTGTATTTTTGTTATTTGGCGTGTTTATTGTGAATAGAAATATCTTTTCGTTCAAGTATCATACAAGTTTTTCTCTTTGCGCACTTTCTATTTAAGTATAGCGCAAGTCTTCATTTTTGCGTTCATATTTTTAAGTATTCTCACAAGTTTTCCGCACTGAGATATGCAAGGCTTCGAGTGTATCTTTCCCTAGTAATATTTGGATTCAGGGTACAAGTCCTTTCGAAATCAACCCTTTAACGTGAGGGTTTCATACGAGAGTGCCCTCTTATATTTACGGTGCTCTTGAAGATGACGTCTCCTGTTCATTACAGCACTAGCATTTGAAGTACTTGTTTAACTTTCAAGTGATAAAATTAATTCATCAATAGGACAAGATATAAGATAAAGACTTTAATTTATTCCTTCCATTTACAAAAAGTGCATAAACATTCGTTGTGCTAAAAAGAAATGGCCAATACTTATGGCTAACTTGTAATACTTGTTTCTACGGGGCTGGCCGCGCAGTCCCTAGTACTAATAATACAACTTTGTTTTCGGGTTTCGTATTCCAGTCAATATAGCAGTCATTGTTGCCATATCCTCATATTATTCCCCCTCAGTGTTCGAATGAGAAGAATGCCAATTTGAACACTTGAAGTTTTGCACCTTTTTTAGGATTCCACTAGTGAATGGTTAGATAATCTTTAGTTCGATAGTAAACTTCACTTCCCCATAGGAATTTATGCTATCGAGCCAAAGATTATCTAACAATCCTCTAGTGGCTTGCACTTCTGAATGGTCAGGTAATCTTTGTTTGACAACAAACTTTACTTCCCGGTAGAAACTTTGCTACCAAGCAAAAGACTATCTAACCGCTCTATAGTGGCTCTTTGCTTGTGTGCCTTGTCATTTAAAGGTGTGCCTTGTCATTTAAAGGTCTTACTTCTGCTGACAAAGCTTCCTTTGTAGTATGATTTCCGTTGCTGCCTCGTT